GTGCAGGACCATCGGTTGAAGGTTTAACGAATGGCCATCGTGAAACGACACTTCCCCACGTGAAAGCAACACGGTAGACTCCCGTATAACATTGTATTGTACATTATACGTATATATATATATACGTCATGAGCTATATGAATTCGCGTTATGGGAAATCGTGGTATACGCAAATTTTTCTCCAATAACACCCACATAATCTGCAATAACATATTTATAATGATTATTACCCTGCCAACTTTTATTTTATACAGTTTATCAAATAGGACAATATTTTAAAACTAAATGGCATGTAATACTCAACTAAAGTAGATTTAATTCTTAAATGCAGGTAGTTTCCGTGTTTTATTATTTGGTCCGTTATACGAAGAATCGCAAACAGTAAACGCAATATCTTTGGTGCGTTATAGGAATTCGCACTATAAAAATTCGCGTTATACGAGTCTACCATAATACTTTCCAACGCGAAATATTTATTTGAAAGAAAATTTCGCGACATTCCCAAAAATTTACCCGATAGCTTCGATAGATCGTAGCGAATTTTTAAATCGTTATTTGTAAATCTTTTTCGACACAATTCAATTCCTTTTGCTTTATAAAATATTCTAACTTTGAGAGAAAATAATTTGAATAAATATAAATTTTATGTGGAGATTTCCCAATTTTGAAAAAATTAATGTTATTTTATTAATGTATGATTTTCTTGTTATGTACTTCATACTACATTGAGAATCCATTTTTTAAAGAAAGGAATTCGATGACTATCGCAGAGTTACTCGATTTTTACAATTCTTAGTCTTCGATTTCAAACAGATTGTAATTATACATATATTATATGTACATAAATACATTTATATACCTGACATTAATTCTCGTAAACTTTTATTAATGCTTGTAAATTAATATGATAAAATTAACATCTGAAAAGGTATAAATACTTCTATAATTCATTGCATATTTTTTTATAATATTTCTAAGTAATTATTTTTACAAATTATGTGTAATACATAATACAATATAAAATTCCGTCAATCGATTTTTATGTATGAAAATTCTGAATTTTATAAAGATTACTTTGGAAATAAAAATTATGAAAATGTTGTAAGAAAATCAAAAATCTATTCAGTCACAATTTTTTAAATTATTAAATGAATCATGGTAGACAATTTTCAACATTATGAATTATTTTAGCTATTTTTTTAATTACGTAAATTTGCTTATACAATTACTCCATGTTTTCCAAAAACTGATATTTTTGTTTTGTCACGTTGAAATATAAGAAAAATCTTGCTTTACACTCTAAATATTTTATATATAAATTATCTTCTTATATTCATAATTTATTACATATTTTTACATATTATAATTTGGAGAAAAATCTAAAGTAGCTGACAAATTGTCATTTTCTTCGAAAACCAAGGAGGTTATGAGAGGTTAACAAATTATTGCGATCCATTGCAATTTTGACTTGGCTCAGTCTACAATTATTACGTTACGACGATCGTTAATTATTTTTCTTAAAAAACTATCGTAAAGATTTACATGGTTACTCACGTTTATTGAGGTTACCGTATAAAACTATCTTCATAGTCCGAGTTCCCTTTCTCCGCGAAAGATTTTACTTACCCATCGTAACCTTCAACGTGAGATTAATTAAAGCAAAGCACCTGGGTAATCTTGATGAAGGAAGGCACGATCCTGATACTCAGGAATCATCAGGAAACCACTGATTACTCGCTGACGTTTTATTTGTTCAATTCTATAGAACATTCTTACGAAAATATAGGATATTCTGGCAGTACATTATCGGCCCTCGAAAAGCAAGATGAAAACGCAAATAGCAAAATATAATTTACGAACCAAATGTTTACTTTTTCCTCCTCCAACGCGAAATTTCATAAAAAATGTATTTTTATCGCAGGATGGAAACATTTTTTCGCCTTAATATAATAAGTAGTAACTATCATTATCAACGAGTAAAGAACAGGATATTAATAATAAGGGAAAAAAAAAATAACGTATCGATTGTCATTACTAATCAATTATCACTCGTTCTTCCAGCAAATCTCATCTGGCTGGCTCTTTATAATTCTATATATATAATATATATTTCTTTTTTTCATATATAATTGTTTCTTATATCTTATCGCTTCTACAGGCGCGAGGAAGCACGTACACACAATGTACATGTACGATTACAGGTATATCGTTCTTCCACTAAGCAGCATGAACATTCATTAAAATAGAACAATGCACCGACGCTCTATCACTATCTACGAATGCAACTTGCAATTTTACCACTCATTACACCATATGCATACGGAATAGGCACTTTTCTTTCTTTCCCTCGATTATTATAACAACGCTTTAACGTTAATCTCTACTTCTCTCGTGGACTTATCATATTTAATACGTTCCGTGCCACCTGAGAAAAGTTTCAAAATATCTAGATACAAAAATCGAAGTATCGCGCGTTACGACGTCTCGTCGAAGAAAAATACAAAAATTTGCTAATATTCTTTTTCCGTTTTATATTCACCCTGCTTAAACGTTATTAAGGGACGTTTTCGCGCGTCATCGGGTTTTAATTTAATCGGTAAGCAACGAAACATGGATCATCGATGACCCACGTAGCACAGAACGTGTTAATTAATCCTAGCCTTTGGAGTACACGTGGTTCCTAGCGGAGGTTTCACCGGAAAACTCGGTATCCAAAGGCACTGGAACTGAAACGCGACCTTTCAGCGTCTTTTGATTCTTCGACTTCCGGTGGATTGATTATCTTGCATGATAAAAGTGTTCCAACGAGAAGAGAACGGAAAAAAAAAAGAAAAAAAAAAATAAGGAGAAAGGAAATTTGAGAACTTTTTCCGCGGAGGAGTCCCAATTTCTACGCTCCAGAAGATTAAATACGTGCGATATCGGTTACACTATTAAAATTATCAATATAAAAAAAATTAACGGAAATAAACTGAAAGAGTATAGGACAAGGAACAAACACCTCTGATGAGATATTATGCGAACGGAATTAATCGAAATCGGAAAGGAAACACTGGCATGAAGCAAGGGAGAAGGGAATATGTAACATATTTATATGTATATATATACATATATAATAAGAGTAATATATATAATAAGTGTAATGAGAGAAAGTTCTAAATTCTATTCACGTGTACAATCCTAAATAGGTACAAAATACAAGAATCACGATGATATGGAGTGTCTCGATTACTTGGCAGTCTTACTTTGAGCATGGATCCCTCAAGAAGAATATATTTCTACATTTGACAATGAGAATTGGCGCGAAAACGATTCTCTGAGCTCGTGCTCGCGCGCGTTTCCTTTTTCCTCTAAATTCTTACCAGCTAAGCGTACATATTTTTATTGTCTTTTATTACTTCTCAATAGTCTCTCTTCGTGGTTTTCCTTTTTCTTTAGAATTTCAGTTAGATCGCACATAGAGGACGGTATTACAATGATTCCGGCAATAACAATAATTTCCAAAAATAATTTCAAAATTTCAACATGGGATTAGGAATGGTGGATAAGCAGGAAAAAAAAGAAAAAAAAAGAAGAAAATAACACTAAGAAACGTCGGAGAAAAAGAAATCCTACACATGTTCACCGTTGTGCTTTCTGTACCTTCTTTCGCTTTTCCTTTTCTTTCTTTTGGTCCCTGTATATGTATACTACGCGTACACGTATACATAACGTTCTAATTATCGTAACGATGCGTCAAAAATATTAAGAGGGAAAAACTAAGCGAAAAAAGACGGATAAAGAGAATTTTCGTTACAGCATTTTTCGTTATAAACTATCTCTGCCTGGCTGCTACCTTTCTCTCCCTCTCACTCGTCTCATTCACTCGTCTCTCTCTCTCTCTCTCTCTCTCCCTCTCGCACTCTCTCCCGTACGCGATCTCCCTCTTTTCCTCCCCTTCTCGTATATTTTGTCCTCTCTCTCTCGCATATATATTTTATAAGACGGTCTACAATGTACAAAATGTACGGTCCTACGCCTACGATATTAAAAAAAATAATAACTGGTAAGCAGTAAGGTTATATTTCTGGGAAGACGACGTGTCGCTCGATTCTCGGAGAGTGGGAGGCAGCAAGAGGCCGTTTAACCTTCACGACGGACCTGCCACCTGACTTTCGACCCTTCTCTCTCGCGCGTTATTTCATCCAACGATGAGAGAAAATATAACAAAGAGCATTCGAAGCAAATAAAAAAAAAAAAGCAAACAAATGCGTACGTTTTTAAACGGAAAAATGAGAAAGGGAAAAAAAGAAAAAGAAAATGAAATGAAAGAAAAAGGTAGCGTGAAGGAAAATGGAATAAGGAATGAAAACGTCGTCCCCCGTTTTATATCACACAATCAAAGTCTTTCTACAAAGACCTCCGTGTCTCGGAGGAATTTAATACTAAGCTCTTTCTCTCTCTATCTCGCATATGCATGTATGTTTATCCTCGTCGTACTTGCGCTGTCGATGTTGCTGATTTATCGAGAGATATCGACGGAACAAAGCACATTATTTTCGTGGATAAAAAGGATGCTGTTAAAAAAATAAAAGCAAATATCGTATTTGTCCTTCTTTTTCTTCTTTTTTTTTTTTGTTTGCTTAGAATCACGATATCTCGAAATAAATCTCGATGTATCTTTTTTGGCACTGTAATTCCTCATGAACATCATCTAAATTGCATTTAATTACAAAAAGAATATAGTATTCAAAAAAATACTAAACGGAATGATTCATGAATAGAATCCCAAAGAGACAGGATTCGAAAAAGTCGCAAGACGAGGAAATGAGAAAGGTTAAATACCAAAATAGCTAACTATCGACAGAAATGTATAATATATACTCGCGTAACATGATAGTACAGGCAAAATGAAAGAAATGTATAGTTCAACTAAAAAAAAAAAATGAAAAGAAAAAAGAGAGAGAGAGAGAGACATAAAAGAACAAAGAATAATTAATTTCTCCATTCATTTCGCTCCATATGTCTTTTGCTAGAAAAAATTTACCTTCAACCGAATTCTCGTGCAACGGTCGAAAGGCAACTCACTTTGCACGTACGCCTCGTTATACTACGAAAAATTTTCCAAAAAACCATTGGAATGCGCGTACACGTTCTACATGTAATATGTACGAAAGATAAACGTAATTCAAAATGGCCCTCGGTCTTTGAATAATCTACAATGAGAATACGGTAAACTATAACAGTTCGACTCGACTAAGCGGATGTTCAAGAATCGAATAGTAGAACGAAGAAGCGGGAAAAGAAAAGAAAAAGAGGAATTCTAAGAATGTATAATCAAACTAGACAACTTCTTTGCCCAAAAATTTCGTGACGAGATCCACGATGAGTTGCTGGTACACCACCGGGTCTATGTTCTTGCCGAGTTGATAAAGGACGAACCAGTCGCCGATCTGGCAGTTGTTCGCGATTGTCACGATATGTTCAGGTTTGGAGAGGCGCGAGCGGGCACGCAACAGCACCAGGCGAAGCTTCGGCCCGGCTATTACCGCAGCACGGTAGGCCAGGGTTAAACCGCTCAACACCGACAGGATGATGAACCAGAACCAGAGGAACACGTAAATCTTCTCGTTGACGATGTTTAGCGGTAGCACGCAGAGACCGTCGAATTTCTGCACGGTACCGGACGAACCATATTTGTGAAAAGTACACTTGGTGACTTTTGGGAATACCCGTGACATGGGGTCCATTCTCTCCTCGGGTTCCATTTCTGTGAATTTCACCACGTCCGAGCCATAGGTGGTGAACTCGCCGTCCAAGAAAAAATCCATAAAGTAGATTTGGCCGACCACGTTAATGAAATTCAGCACTTCACAGAGGAAAAATCGGAATGCATAAAAGTTTTGCGAATGCCAGTTTGACGCGAAGTAGTCGACCAATAATTTTCTCCTTTCCGATTTACATTCGTCGCTCATCACAGGGCAATTTAGGTCGAGAACCAACATCTTTATTTTACCGCCCTCCCAAGTTTTCCACAGGTAACGCGGCACATAAAACAATATTGCCTGGAAGAAGAGCGTGAAACACACCCACTGATAATATTTGTGATACTTGATCTCATCCTCGCCCTCGATGTGAGATGCGACACCTGGTTGCACCATGTCTTTGCCGACGATGCCGGTTCGATCCGGAATCGTAAACGTCGAATAGATCCAGCAATATGTGTCCATTACGTGAAGCGGTATTTCATCGACGATGCAGTCTATAGGATCTCCGATGTACTGCCTGGACGTGACCAGTAACGAAAATGCGATTAATATGATCACCGTCGCTTTGTAGTGCAGTCGAAACACATTATTATCGATGCAAACGCTATCGAGCTTGAGCAATCCCTTTACGGAGCCAAATACGTCAAACATGGTTAATTATTTTCTCTAGGATCCGTGTTGCGAGAGAAATCGAGCGATTTATTCCAATCGCGAGTTCTACTTGACTATTTATCAATCAGATCGAACACTCTCGAGTTGTCGATGACCCGGGCGACGTGACGCCGCGCGTCAAGAGGCGTCCCTAGGCCTCTCTGTACACGCACAAAAACAAACAGCTTTCAAAAAATTCGTTTCTCACGGCAATCGATGTATCCTCTTCGTTACCGGTCTATCACTGATTAAATTTCGTTTACCGAAATTTTGTTCGAATTTCCGAAAACACGTGCGTTCCGTTCCGATCGTTCCGTGACCACTGCGCGCGTGAGCACAGCTCTACCGCATCAAAGCGTCACCGAGAGCGGTTGTGTCGTAATGGCTGCGTTCAGAAACGTTGTACGACACGAGCACGCGAGGACATGCCGTTCCACAAGCTGCTCCCTTTTGCTCTCCTCCGCCGTCGATTCGTTTCTTCCTCTTTGCGTACACCGTACGATATCTTCTCTCTGTCTCGCTCGCCGATCGTACACAGCCTGGTTGGGGACGCAGAACTATACGTTTGCTTCTGCTGTACACCAAGATTCTATCCCCACTTACGGACACGAGAAAACTCGTCTCTCTTTCTGTCTTTGTCTTACTCCCTCTATTTCTCTCTCTCGTCCCTTTACTACAACCTAACCCCACTTTTCATCTCTTTTAACCGCCGCGTCGGCCCGGATCACAGGAAACTTAGACTCACTGTTCGTATAAATTCGACTGTACTCGGCTAACATCGGTTTCAGCAAATTCTCCAGACGCCCGTACGCATGCGTAGATGAAAAAGCGATCTTTGCCACTTTCGTACACAATATTGTGTAAATTTATGAAAAAAAACTCACGAAATATTTGTCCAGAATATAACCGCAAAAATATACAGTTACCATAAACATTCTTCTTTTTTTGTAGATGTCAATTCTTTTATTGAAAATTTAAATGCTTTTACTTTAATCTTATGATGAATAAACCTTATGATGAAAGTATTTATACACATTTCAAATAGAATACCCGCTTAAGAATTGGTAAGTACAGTTTACTTCCTTGCCGATAATCACTCAGTTTGTTTTCCATACTATGTCGTTAACATCGTGCCCATTATTTATGTAATTCTAAATGTTACTATTCGTTAGTTCAATCTTCATTCGACGAATGAATTTGCATATGCTCGTATTTTTGGAAAATTTGCAATCGCAATATTTTTTGCTATATATATATATATATATAGTATATTTGGTGTTTTTTTCTTTTTTCTTTATTTCCAGATAAAATAAGTAAGTTTTTAAAAGAGTTATTCGAAAAACCACAGAAAAGGTAATCGAAATAAGTTGCACCATATGTATCACATGTTTCATGTTACAAATACCAAGATTAACGTATCGCTTTGCATCTGTAATTTTACACCGTTCTAGATTGATACTGTGGTAAACAGCAATCATCGCTAATAAATAATTACTACCATTTATTGATCTCCATTACTCCATAGATTATTTAATACAGATAGATCAAAGCTATTTTAAACCATAATCGACATGCAGAGATTAGGCAAGTGAATTAAATCGTCTCTATAATTAATTAAGGTTATTAATTTCGTAAATTTCATAAATTCAGAATATGTTCCTTACGTCAACGAGGCTATTCAATTTCACCTTAAATTATTTTTATCGTAACATATGCAACATTAAACGTATTGCATTTAAATAGCGTCATTTACTTTCAATTTTGCTTTATCGATAAAAAAATTCTCTGGCGCTGCATTCCACTAAAATTTTTCTATAAGTTAATTTTGCTATATCATATCGTTATCTGCAGTTGACGATGAATCTTCAGTGATGTAAATATATCTTTATTACGTTTGATTGTCACAGAACGGACAGAGCTAATATTGGCATTCTTTAAAAGAAACCATCGAATCTGGAATATGGGAAAGTGCGTAAAAGACAGTGAAATCAATAAGTACGTATGCCCCTTTACAAGTTACAGATTGTTACATGGTATTACATCATGTTACACTGTTTTACAAATATTAAATACATATTGTAGTCACAAATAGACTTTTTATGTTCAACATTTTTTAAATTTTACTTTATTCGAGCAGAATTATACAAATATAAATATCATTTCATTTAATAATATGTTCTATTTCTTATACTATATAACATACCAAACCAAGGTCGGTCCTGTGGCGCAACGGATAACGCGTCTGACTACGGATCAGAAGATTCCAGGTTCGAATCCTGGCAGGATCGTAAATGTTCTTTTTTCTTTTCCTTCCTAAAATTTTTCATTATTCTTTAACAATAAATTTAACGCAACTATAAATATATATATATATATTAACAATAAAAAGAAAGTAACGAAATTCATGTTTGACCCACATATTTTACACAATATTTTAAATATTTAAATTATCCGAGATAGTGAAAGAGTGAGATACATACTAACCATGTAACTATACATATATACTTTGAAGGATCGTTCATATCACTTCAAGCTGAATCTGAACGGATCGGATAAAGCAAGTTAAACAATGGGAATATTTTAACGAAGAAAAGATATTTCAATGACTTGGTAAAAAGAAAATTGTTCTTCGTTTTGCTTTACTTCAATTGAGGAAACTATGTCATAGTACAAATTGAAACATTTTAATTTCAATTTTAATCATTTAATTTCGATCCTCGTTAAATATGAATCGTTTTTCAGCAACACTTTATCTTACTGTTTAACTGCTCGAAGAAGTTTAAGAGGAGGGCCAGCGATGGAATGTAGATCGGCGTGAGAACGTGCACGGTGATTTTCAGCGATGCGTTTCACACCTACACAATTCGTGGTGACTCAAAAATACGTATGAATTGCAAGCGAATGCCGGAATTATTACTATTAATAGCCACAGGCCGATCCTGAATTCCAGTGAAGGCAATATGGTCTAAAAGGATATCTACTACTTAATGCCCTGGAAACTAATTGGGAGCGAACGTAGTCGGTGGGTCAAATAAATTAACCCAGTATGCGCACGAGAACCGGTTGCAAGACAGTGTAAACCGAGAAGGGCCATCAAGGCGAATACAAAGATGCTCTTTCACAAGGAATCTCCAAATTGACAAAATCATTTTGCTTCTATGTAAGTCATGTATCAAGTTACTAACCTCATCTTGTCCTTTTTTTATTAACGATTCAATTAAAACGTAATAAATGTTCTTACTTTTAGAATTAAGCTGTCTTTTACGAACGATATCTTCGTCGTTGAAATGATTTCATTATGTAAAGAAATTGAACGATTGTGCAGGAAGTAGAAATCGTCCAGATTGATGAATCAAACGGTGGTTTAAAAGTGCATACAGGTTCGATGATCGTGCAACACTGCCGTGGATAATCTCGCTGCTTGCATTTTATTGTACATTACTCAGCTCTCTCGAACGAAATATCCGTTGAACCGACGGATTTTTGACTGGAAAAGGTTTCTCTTACCTGTGGTCTGTGGGTAGGCGTCGACGTGGCACGATACTCGATACATCAGCTGCTATGGACCTACCTGTGACTTCTCCGTAGAGAATGGCGCGTGTTACGGAAGAGTGGGGCCAAAAGGAAAGGACCGGTTTTTCTGGTTTTCAATCTTTTCGACCCTCGTAGCCTATTCTTGCTACCTTCTCCGCGAGCATGCTACAGGATACGTATGTGTGTGTATTTTCAACGTGTATACACATAGTATATTTGCTATATTTTACCTCGTTTGCGCCTATCCTCTGTCGGACATGACTCTTCGACTTATTCACTTTTACTTTAATCGAGACACAGGATGCATCAAGTTATCCCAAAACTTTCTCGCGCGCGAGGAAATATATTCTTTTTAACTCGAACCGCGTGCAGTTGATCATACCGTAATAAAGGAAGTGTACAGCGTCTGACATTGATTATATCGCTTGCTTCCCTTTTTTATTCCATTAATTTGCATGCTTTTGCAAGAAATTCGAAAATGTATATTCAATGATCGATTTACTATTTTTATACGTAATGATTACTTTACGAGTTGAAATGTAAATGATACGACTGCTATTTGTATCTAAAAATTTTACTCTGTATCATTCTAACGTGTTCAATTAAGTAATTAAGTATTTATATTCATTCGTAAACTTACCTGGGAATAGAATTAAATGAATTAATTGATATTTAATTTGTAATTCAAATTTTTCGAAGTAACATTCTTAAACAGTTAAATACTGATATCAACAAATGCAGATATCGATTACTATTTTAAGAAGTATAAGTAAATTTATAAGAAAATCATTTTCTGAGGAAACAAAAATTTTCCTGTGTTAATAAATTAATGGACTATTTTTATTTATTAAACTACTGAGTTTATATTTCATATTGTATGCTATTGTATTACTTATCTATTTTTTTATGTAACAGATTTACTTTTATCTATAAAAATAACTTTACTCCGGAATTTATCATTTTCTTAGAGTAATTTTTAAGCAACTGTTTATAAAAACTACCACTGTAATTGCTTTACTTATTATTGTGCATTTCGTTAATTTATAAATTTATCAATAATAGAAAATTTTTCCATAAAAATCGATATTCTGCAAGATGTGTTCATATCGTTATATATTTAGAAACGCAAGCGCTAAAATTGTTTTTTATTTCTTATATTATAAAGTATGTTACATGAAATAATTATATAAAGAATAATTCTATTCAAAATTGAGATAAATTAAACAGAAGAATAATTCTTCTAGAAATTAATTGATCTCCACACAAGTTTTAATTTTTATAATTATTATACAGAGAAGTATTAAGTATAATCGCATTTAGGTATTTAATAGAAATAATAATGTATTTACATAAGAGTGTCTTTAGCAGTGTTAGAAATATTCCAAATTTTATAAATTCTAAAAATTGTAAATAATAATCCATTACAGAAAATTATTTAGATAATACAGTTAAATAATGGTGAAAATAAACTTTGACAATGTACTTTACTGAAATAATTTTTTAAATAAATTTAGACAAGCAGGAACAAAATAACAAACTTACATTAAGCAAAGTTTAATTTTAATTTTTGTAGTACTGCGTAAATAGATCACTCTTTGTATGTTAAACAACAGAAAATAATATCATAAAATCCGTCCTTTCTTTTGTTTGAACGATTTTGTAAAATAAAACAGTAGTACAAATTGACACGAATATAATTACTAAACATAATAATCATTCATTCAAAGTACATTCCTAATGCTTACACTATATGTATTACGATAAGATAAACAAAATTATGTAGATGACGAAAAATCCGTATACATTCATATGATAGAAAGTTCTTTTATAAGATTCTTAAGTCGTTTACATCGTCGAGATTTAATTCTAAAAATCGATTGACTTAAATTCTACGTTGATAATACAAATCACATCCATCCATTCTACATAAAATATATGTTCAGTGACAGGGATCGATTATTAGAAGCCGTTGACTTAGTCATCCGCGTGTATCGGAAGCGTGTACTCGATAGTGCGATATCTAATCAAAACATTCGTCTAATGGTATGATTAATAAAGCAATGATAAACGAAGAAATATTTCGCTAGTTGTAACCTGATAATTAATACCGTCTTAAATGAAAGTCATTGTTTTACAGATTAATTTCAACACAAACGTCACACCGATCCCTACGGACCTAACGGAACAGCACGCAAAGCATGCTGGGCATTTAACGTATTAACGGAAATCCGAGATCGCGCCAATAGCAAACAAAACATTTTTCTCGTTATTGAAGTTACAACATACGTAGTTAAAATTGAAGTTTAATCTTTCTTGTTTGCAAAGTTATTGATAGAAAATGTCTACTTCGGTAATTACAAATCGACTATTTACTCTATAAACGAATTTTGATCATTATTTCTTTACTGTGCGTTTTCATTTTAGGAACAGGAGGTACTTTATAGTCCCAGCAAATGGAGCAAGAGATTCAGTCACATGCAACTGTTATCGCATCATTATAAATTTGCTAAAGAAGGTAAATTGAAATTATCATTCATAAAGTCCGTTAAATTACTTTATAAAGAGATGAAGTGAAATGTTATGCGGTAAACAAAATAATTTACTCCTACAGTTACCGAAAATGCCCGTAAGACATTGAAATGTGAACTGAATGTTCCATATAGTACAACGGAACGAACTAAATATGATATCTATGGAACCAACTTACCTAACGGTACGTACACAAATTTAGCGGTTTATTCGAAATATCAAAATACTGATATTGATTTGTCAAATTTATAACCATTATTTCATAATTAATTACTAATTAATATACATTACAAACTTTGAATTTTTGTACTAGTTCAGTTTGCCATAATATAAATGATTATTTTTTTAAAATTGGTTTGAAAGGTATTATGTCAGAATGTTCATTCCAGATTCTCCCATTTTTATATTCATTCATGGTGGTTATTGGCAAGAAGGTAACAAAGACCTGGCTGCATTTGCAGCTTCTGTCTTTGTTAATAAAGGAATTAAAGTCATAACTATTGGCTATGACTTATGTCCTAATGGTAAATTCCACATTTTATTTACGTTTACTTTGTTTCAGACATAAAATTGAAAATAACGTTAAATCATATTCTAATTAAATTTTCTATTATGCTTCAGTCAAACTTGGAAATATAATATCACAGATAAAAACAGCAGTTGAACATGTATTAAAATCTGCATTGCATCTCAAATGTCGGTATGACATACAGAATTAATATCTATATAATAATGTTGTAAAATTACAATATTGTGATAAAATTAAATGAATTTGTGTAGGAATGTTTGGGTCGCTGGTCATAGCGCTGGTGCACATTTAGCATCTAGTCTTCTGTACGATGAATTATGGTTAGATAAGATGACAAAACAAGGATACCTAAATTTATTGAAAGGTATCGTGTTAATAGGCGGCGTGTTTAATTTGAAACCCCTTATTAATACCAATATCAGTACAGCTTTAAAACTTACAAAGTAAATATCTAAATATTTGTATAAATTATTTACTTTAGTTCAGAGCTCCTTAAACTGTGGATTATGATCCCCAAGAGAGTCACCTAACAGACTTAGGGGATCGCAAAGACCTTGGCAATAGTCCATAAAAATCTTATAATATTTAGCTGTCAAATTCTGAAATATTAGTAAGTAAAAATAATTACAAAAGACATTTTGATTTAAGACATTTTAGAATATCTAATTAAAATTAAAAATATAATACAAATTATACTATGTAAAATATGGCAATGACGCGTTTATATACCTTTTCTCTTTGTCATCATATTTTATACTACTTCTCAGACAATGGTCTTCGAGTATTTTTGAAAAATTTTCTTCGGAAGAAAGGAGTCGTCAACGAGAAAGTTTAAGAAGCTCTGCTTTAGTTTATAGTGATACATAATATGTGTATTTGTTCCAATTATACGTGTACTTAGGGATGAAATTGAGGCATACAGCTTTTCCACTCTCAATACCAAAAATAACAAGCCCATCCAAGGGTTGAAAGTTATTGTAACCGATGGAGAATGTGATTCACCAGGACTTATCAATGAATCACGCGAGTGTGCTCAGGTACTCGTGTTATTTTAAATAAATGGAAGATAATTTTCATCTATTCTAAACTAAATGTTACATCCTCTCCTTTATAAACAAAAATTAATAATTTCTTTTCATTTTAGAAACTCATCACAATGGTGGATAATGTGCAATATATTTTTCTTCGAGATAATATCGATCATTTTAATATCGTAGAAAATCTCACGGACGCTGAATTCATTTTAACAAAAGTGATACTGAATAACATTTTCTGCGACTAGAAGGCAATGATTTGTATAGAAACAACATCGAAACATATAACTTTAACAATAGAAGATAAATTCATAACAAACATTTAACATACAAAGACCACAGGGGAGAAACGTAATGTTACATTTTCCATGTTTTATAAAACAATTAAAAAATTTGATATGCTGTTTGCAGTCTCATATTACGAGATTATTTCCCTTTTTAACTGTACCATATTAAGGTACTTTTTAGCCATGAAGTACTATAAAAATAAAAAAATGAACAAAAATAGGCTTATCATGTTTTTCCCCCCTGTGATCTTTATATAAAAATTATATATATCTTGATATTCGTAAAAAATTTATTTAGTGTAATATATCAGTATACTAATACAATGTTGCTAAATTACAAATTTTCCGTAAAAAAATTATTACGTTCATTTACCGCAATCTGTTGGTCATCTGTCATTTGTTACTTTTGCATAACAGTGATCACGATGAATTACTTTAAGTCTTTCTACGAGTCATTTAGGTTGTGACATCGATGAATTCGTTTTTGGACGTTGTGAGGTACTTTCCTCTCGTTTTGAAGGTAATACTATAATTTGATTAGACTGAGAAATTTGTAAAGTTGTGCTTTTTTGTTTTGTTTGTGATTTTTGTATCTGATTATCGGTGTTTATTTCCTGATTGGCAGGTACATTCGATGATAAATGTATAGTTGCAGATTTTGCATTTTTACCAATTACTCGTTGCGTAGATATGATTTGACCACTTTCTAATTTGGTTACATTACTTGAATCCACAGGTTTAGTATTCAGTCTCACATAATTGTTTGTAATATTTTTTACGTTAATTATGCTGTTACCTGCTGGTATTACAAATGTCTTGTAATTACCTTTCACAATAGGAAGTACCTTAGATCCAATCTGAATAGTTGCACACTGACGAAGAGTCGCGTTTTCTTGTGTAAGATCTATTATATCCTTATTAGTTAATGTCTTTGATGTATTTTCACGTTCATTATATTCGTCTACTTTCTCTTGTACATCTTTCCACGTAACCGGAGGTTTAGCGAAAGAGCGTACTCGTAACAATGGTTTTTCTACTGTTTCTTCTTCCTTATCCTTAAGTAGCTTATCATCCATTGAATCTTCGTTCATAATATTAGGTTCATCCTCTACAACACACATACATAATAAAATCTAAATGTTTTTGTTCATTCTTCAATGATTAATTCTTTTTCATCAATATTATGTTTGTACACTAACCTTTTGTTCTACTGATAGAAATTTTATTCTGTGTTATAGTTGAAAACACTGTGTTAGATGAAGTATTTAAATTTGATGTCGTATCAGATGATGATATAGTATCATTTTCCATTTTTGACTCTGAGTCCAAATTACAATTATGATTAGATATATTTACAGTATCATTTACTTTTATTAATTTTACATTAACATTACCACTGCCTTTTAATCTATCATTGATCTCAGTTGGTTGGGTTTCTTCTATTTCTATGATATCAGGATCACTTTTTTCTGCACTAGATTTCGTTTTTTTATTTATATCATTTCTAGATACATCACCTCCATCTATACTATTTTCATCTTCGTATGAACTACTTTTATCTTTATCTATATCAGAATTTATATCAATCTCACTAACATCATCATCTTCATTATCATCTTCATTATCATTTTCATTATCATCTTCATTATCATTCTCTACACTATCTTCATCTTCTTCATTCTCTGATGATGTTCTGGAGTTGGTAATTGTATCTTTCATTTCTTCCTGTTTCTTCACATATTCCTCAAATACATTTAATAATTTCTTCTCCCCAACTCTCTTATTTTGCACCAACTTTTCAGCTAATGCCATGTCCTTCAATGCAGGATCATCTTCTGTATTTTCAAGATATAAAGAAAATGTATCCCAATAATCATTGCGTCTACATCTTTGCAAATATTCTCCCAAATCGATAAATGCTTTCTTTGCTATAACAAGTAACACATATAAATACTAAAATTACAGTATTAATTTTAAGAAAATTTTAATAACCTACCAATTTTGTGCTGCTGTTTGTTGTCCAAACCTAAATTATGTAATTCATTACATTTAGTAACACACTTCAAAATATCACTGTAATCGGGAAAAATTAGTGCTTGCATAAAAGCACCAATTTTTTTCACCTTATTCCGTTTTGATATTTTTGAATTAATGAAACTTGTAATAGCATGATCTACTGCAACAATTCCAGTTGTACTGAAGTGCTTTGGTCGTAGGTATTGTCGTTCTGCGTCAGTATTTTCTCCAGTATAGTCACAGTATTTATTATAAAGTTCCACCATACGATATTTATACTTTTCTAATTTGATATAATTACTATTATTTTCATCATCAAAATTTATTTCCATTTCTTCTAATTTTTTTATACGCTTCTCGCACTGTTCCATTGCTTTTAATATTACATTAATTTTCTTTTGTTTAGAGAGATTTGCTTCCTGGTTTTCTTCATTTCCTGTATTAGTTAACATTATTTCATTATCACTGACTACATTATTAATCATATGTGACATATTTGAACACATTGCTGTAGGTACATTTGAATTATTATTTCTATTTAATTTATTTCCACCAGAAATACATCCTTTATCATTTAATAACAAAGTTGACTTTCCTTTACAGCTACTTTTCATTTCATTCATGACTTCAGCAATATATATAAATAATTTACTTTTACTATTCATTATATCATTTCTTTTCTCATTCAAAAAATTAATAAAAGCTTCGGAATTAGCATATATAGGATCCAACTGTTCATAACGTCTCTTTAATTTATTAACAATAATTTTCATATCTTCAGAACGATCTTTTTGCAAACATAAACTAATAAACATAGGAAATATATCTTGTTCCACAGAAAAAATAGTTTTTCTTTCTTTTTCAATCAACTTTGGTTTTAATAATGTCTTATTCTCTTCCATTCCTTTTTCTGCTTCTTTTCCTGATTCTTTTTTTTCTTTCCTTGCCACATTACATGTTTTAATATTATTTTCTATTTCACACACAAACACTTTTGTATGATTTTTTAAATATGAATCATCATCACTATTTATTGCTGATAATTTTCTTTTTATTCCACGTTCTTTCGTTTTTTCATTACCACTTGAAGAAACTTCCCTTTTTACATGGGAATTACGAATGTCCTCTAACATTTCTATAACTGCTTTTTGTTTGTGATCAGTTTTATTCTGAAACATCACATAACTTTTAAACTTTCAATCACATTCAGTTCATAATATTTGTAACTTGTTAACAATAAGCAAACAATATTCATTGCTAAAAATTTATAAACTACAAATAACATAATTATATGGATTCGAATTTAACAAAACACACAAACCTGTTTTATATTTTCATCATCATCTGATGAAATACAAATAATCTCATCTTTTTTGCTTTCCATATTTAATATTCTGATTTAATAGAAAAGTTACACTATATTACAATGGATGAAATCTATCCTAAATTCTATAGAATTTATTTTACTGATAATAAATGTCACACTGATAATTAAATCTATTATAATTACATTAAAACCACAAAATTCCATATGCATACTAGCGTTTATTTAAGAACACTAGTTGTTATTCAATGTACTGTATATCACTTTATTTTTGCTTCACCTAGAAGATCCATATAGACTGCAATACAATCACTGGAAGGATCGTAGCTTGAAAGTCTACCAACTATCGTTGAACTGCGTTTCAACGATCAAATAATGACGCCAAATGATCACAAACTAACTTCATTTAATTGTGTGTATATATATATATACATATATGCATTTGTGGCATCAAGTTAAGTGAATCAATGTAGACATGAAATTTCATAGTTCGATATTCTACAAGTCTGTTAATTCGAAACTTCATTTAATTGCATACATGTATATTGGCATCAAGTAAAATGAATCAATGTGGAGATGAAACTTCATCGTCCGATATTCTACAAATCTGTTAATTCAAATTGGCCGATTTTAAAATGTAATTAATTATATATGAGCAGTTGCTTGACTATTAGGAGTGTTAATAATTATATCCCTGTCTGTATAATCCTTACCACTTAACAATATAGACAAATTTGATAAAATGAACTTGAAACTATAATTGATTTTCTAATTAGATAGAACTTCCAACTTTCAAAAAGTTAATATAACATGAAGCAAAAATTTAAAATATTTGCAAAAACAAATAATTTGAAGCAAAAGAAACAATTAGGGATTTTACTTTAGGTGTGTTATTTTAATCGCGCAAGTTAAGTATTGTTTCGAAAAATTTATCAAAACTATCTATATGGGAAAAATTAATAAAAGACTAAAATACCTATTTCAATTAACTTTTGGATAAGATAAGATTTAGTTAAGACCCTGTAATAAAAACAATTAGTTATAATATTTGAAAAATAAAATATAATATAAAAATGATTTTAATAATGTTAATCGATTATAATACATAGATTTCACGTAGGTTTATAAATTTTGTTATTAATTCTTACTATTATCTAGGATGAACTTGACCTTATTTCTATGTTGGAACCTAGAGATTTTCTTATAGCATTGTTTAATCTGCATAACTAGAAATTTTTAAATAATAACTAGAAAAAGTTAATTTGCGTATATTACTTCATTTTCAAATAAATATTGTACATAGCATTTATTCTTATCCTCTAAAATTTGAAAACAATGTGTTATTTTAATGAAAGATATATTTATGTATGTATTTTGTTCATTTTAACTTCTTGATTATTTTCGGGACTAACATCTTCTATTATCAATTTGAATTTTTTATTTTTTCCTTTATTATTAAAATATAGAATCATCTACTAATTGTCGAAAAACATTATGATATTAATAATATTATCTTGAAACATTTCATTATTTGTTTAATCTGTACTAATTGTTAAGATTCCTAAATATAATAATTTAGTGCGAATTACCTAAATATATTGTGTGCTTTCAGGTTCACGATTTTGACAACGACACGCCATCTAGAAATCGTTATATGAGTAGTGATTGTATCGTTGCGTTTACAGTACTGGACAATTGTAAATATGTCATTAGCGAAGGTTATATGTGGTACGTAGCTTCGAAAATGAACTCGTAACTTTAAAATCGTTTCATTCTACTGTATACTTAAACAATGCCGATAGTCGTCTGTCGATTTTGATAATTTACTTACATCATGACGGGAATATTGTATGAGATGAGGCCACTAAAACGGCCCAAATTAGGGCCGCCTGACGTCTATCCTCAAGAACCTAAACAGAAAGAAGACGAACTTACTTCTACAAATGTTAAACTTGGTTTTGCTACAATGCCTCAGATGTCAGAGGAATTTGGGACCGCAAGACATTGTAATGTTACTGCTGCCAAAGTAGGAGCATATTTTAATGCTATTTTGGCAAAAAAGGAAGAGCTCTCTACAATGCCAGACACAGCTAGGAAACGACAACAGATTAATCCAAAGGATAATTTCTGGCCAGTGACTGCAAGGACAAAAAATGGCATTGAAGCATGGTTTAAGGACTTGTCTGGGTGTAAGCCATTGATAGCTCTTGCTAAAAAGGCTCCAAATTTCAATAAAAAGGAAGAAATATTTATGATGCTTTGCGAGTACCAAGTACCAATGTTAAGAGCAGCCTGGTTCATTAAACTTAGTTCTGCTTATACAGTAGCAGTTTCAGAAGCTAAAATAAAAAAGAGGCAGTTACCTGATCCAACTACAGGTAAATGAATATTTAATTCAATGATTTTTAATTTATTGTAAATAATATGTATAGCAGATTAAGCAGACTAATTTAAAGTATTAATGTTAAGGTATTGGGATAAATATATGCTTTTTTTTAAATATAAAATATAAATCTTTAATTTATAAAATAGCTAAATTATTCCCAACAAAATTATTTTAATATTTTGTCAGTCAATTAAATAGATTTAATTTTTGCATGTTTCTTAATAAATGATGTTTTAGTTTTGTATTTTATTCTAGATACAGTAAATGGTTATGATATACATTATTTTCACATTTCATGTTATTAATTTTTTAAATTCTAGGTATCTTATAAAATTTTCTGTTCAAAATATTTTTATAGACAACCAAATATAACTTATTTAGCATTCAAATATAATAATTATTACTTTTAAAAGACAAATTTATGTAGAATGAAACTAAGTTATCATGAAATTATGATAATATAAAATTATCATTTTTATGAAGTACATAAATACTAAATATTTATATCATTTTTTGATATTTATATAATGATAATCTTTTATGGTTATTTATTTCTATAATATTTTTAATAATATTTTGCAATTTTCTTTGTTTCTTCTTACAGAATGGACAGGAACGCTTATTAAATTCTTAAAGGATCAACTTTCAAAGCTACAGGAATATTATCACATAAATAACCATACAACAAATAATACTAATACTATTGGCATTACAAACAATTCTTGCAATGGGAACAACACTGGAAATAACAATAGTAATAACAGCAGTAACAACAATGTCAGTAATAGTGCTAGTAATAATAATGGAGTTGTTAATAATCAGCCAACTACACCAAATTCAAATAATCAAATAACGATTGGAAATGCCATGAATGAGGAACATAAATTAGCATTGAAACAGTGGCATTATTGTGTACAATTGGCAAAATATATGTTTGAAGAAGGATTATTAGATAGACAAGAATTATTACAATGGATTTTAGAATTATTAGATAAAATTAAATCTTCTCCATCAGAAGATGGTATTTTGAAACTTCTGTTGCCATTGGCACTACAGTATTTAGAGGAATTTGTGCAGTCTGAATTACTAGCCAGGCGTTTAGCATATTTGTGTTGCCGCAAATTGGCACATATGTGTAGTAATGTGGAAACAAATGGTAATCCACAAAGTCCGTCCATAAATAAAAGTGATGTTAATGGTGGAAAAGACACTGCCAATGCTAGTCAAGTTCAAAATCCATTAACTACTGCTTTTAATGACTATTTGTCTTGTCCACATCACAGAGATGTAATTTACAGTTTGTCAACAATAATACAGGTAAGACCTACTTTTTATATATTACTACATTTAACATGTTTCATGACAAGAAAAAAATAAACATCTGAGCAACACTTTAACTCTGTGTGACAAAATTATATTCCAATATTTAATTCAAGAAAAGTAACATTTGTAAATTCTAACATTTTGATTTTTTTTATATCTGCTTTCTTTTAATACTATAGCAAAGAGTGTTTTTGTTCTACGAACTATTATTGATAGTTTACCTAGCATGGAACATCTACATATAGCAATAAAATTGTGCTAATTTATGACAATTTATTAATGCAATGTATAAGAAGCTTAATTTTCTGCCAGGTTATTACATTAGAGTGCCCAACTGCATTAGTGTGGAATAGTGTTGGTGAAGGAAAAGCTCCATCTGTATTAAATGGTTCTCCTTTAGATTATTTATCATGTCCTCCTACTGCTTTACCATGTCCACCTGTAAGTGCGACTAATCCTACAGTAAAACAACTGAAAATCGCTCAAAAAAACATTCGAGCAAGATCTCAAGCTGCAGAAGGAAAATGGTCATGTGATAAGTGGCAGCAAAGCAGCGCTGGAATAACAACTACTAAAGTATTGGCTGCGTTAGATGCCTTAGATCGGCATAGTTTCGATAGAATGGATTCTACTAATTCATTAGACACTTTATATGCTAAAATATTTACATCACCGCCGAAAGATAATAACAATGAACGAGATACAAAAACGGAATATAATCCACAACAAGATTCTGCTGTGGTTGAAATTTTATGCGAGTGGGCAGTAAGCGCTGAAAGGTGGGGAGAACATAGAGCCATGGCAGTTGCGAAGTTGCTGGAGAAACGGCAGAGCGAAGTTACTGGAGAAACGAACGATAACGATGATAAAGATAGCATCTGTAGTAATGGAAATCCACCTGTGCTACCGATCTTTCAGTCATTACTTATGAAATTTTTGGACATGGATGCCCCGGTACTAGATAATACAACAACTCAGTCAAAAGTTCAGTTTACGAATTTGGTTCACTTATTTTCAGAATTAATTAGACATGATGTATTTTCACATGATGCATACATGTGTACTCTTATTTCAAGAGGCGATCTCATACAAGGTAGGATAAATAGATATTCAATTATCACTGATTGACTGTTACTTAAAGCAAAGCTGTTTCAAACATCAGTAAATATATAATCTATAATAAAATTTGATACCTAAATTTGATATATTTAAGGAATTTAGATGGTTTAAAAGAAATTAATAGTTAGAAATGTTTCTATCCACGAAGATACCTTTTCTAGAATATTTTTATAAAATTTTTTAAAATAAAAGAGTTAGTAAAATTAAAAATTTTTAATTTCCAATGCATTTTT